ATTGAACAGAAAAACAGACAGTGCAATAGTACGAAAATTATTTAAATGGAATGAGATCTCTAAATTAAGAAATTATCAAGGAATGCAATTAGAGGAAAAAAAAGTCGATAAATAAATTATTTATGAAATAAATATTTTGAATTTATAAATCAAGTGATATTAGTGGGCAAGGGCCAGAAATTCAAAAAAGGGTAAGTTTTAGGAGTATATAAAAAAGTTCGACAGAACACTAAGTAAATAAATATTGAAAATTCGGTTAGGGACTGGTATTTATTAAGGTGAGTGAAGCAGAGTAAATATATATAATTAGAAAAATTCTGAGTATGGGAGTAATATTTTAGATGATGGCACCTAAATACAAAATATGGTAATCATATAAGGGGTAATATATAAAAGTTGGCTAAAATTTTATGAGGGTACATATACACACATGTGTTGACCATTCTTATCGTCTCATGGCTAAAATTGTATGTGATCTGGAACAAATTTGCATATAGGCAAATGAATTGACAAAGGAAGCGAGACAATTATGTAACAAAGAAAGTTTATGTAAATAGCACAAAAATAATATATTATGCTTTCGTCGGTCATCACGCTTATTAGAATGACAGACAAGAAGTTCAGTTGTGGATCACAAATGTAGACCGAGATTATATTGGAGTATAATAAACTCGTTATTAATAGGACAGCAAAAAGAAGAGCGCCATCCACTTGGAAATTTTCACTTCGTTGAGAGAACTAAAGCAACTATAAGGCCATAAAGTCCTAAAACTTCGGCAAATATTAAGATAAGAATCATTCCAACAAATAGACGAGGCTGCTTCAAATAACCACGAACTCCACAGTCCCCAACAATTCCAATTGCATAACCGGCGGCTAGTCCACTAAGCCCGACAGATAGTCCAGCCCCCAAGTCGTTAAAGGATCTAAAATTACTAAAATAATATTATCTACTTTTCCAAGGTATACGAGTCATCTACACGCTGTGCGATCAGAACAGCAACGACTAGACCGTAAATTGCAACAATACCTGCCATTACGACAGGTATAATCGACTTCATAACGAGTTCCGGCTTTACTACCGACATACAAGAAATGCCCATTCCTGATCTTGCAGTGCCGTAGGCCGCCCCACATGCTATAGATATATGTAGGGATTAACAAAATGCAAACCTGATAAAACCATGGCAGCTGTAGTGCCCATTATACCGAAAAACGGAGAGTACAGCGGCTCGAAGTCATTCATTCCAAAGAAATGAATAGCAGGTAAAGAACAAAGAGACCGCGGGGGTAAAGTAGAGCGATTAAATACTATGCAGAATATAAAAAGTTCGATACTCGTATTTATCACATAAATCAAACATTTTTTGAAGAAGTTTGCTTTTAGTATTTTTATTTTATCATTTTTAACTTGATGTGCCTGAATTTGTAAGGGTAGAAGATTTTCAAGTCATTTATTCACTGTCCTCTGGACCATTTATACTTATCTATTATTTAA